CGGGGGGAGGGAAGGGGAAAAGGGGAGGGGGAGGGGGGTCCGGTGATGGGTCAGAGATGGGTCAGTGAGGGGTCAACGATGGTCTCGGTGATGGGTCCGAGATGGGTCAGTGATGGGGTCAGAGATGGGTCAGAGATGGGATCAGAGATGGGGTCAGAGATGGGTCAGAGATGGGATCAGAGATGGGGTCAGAGATGGGTCAGTGATGGGATCAGTGATGGGGTCAGTGATGGGTCAGTGATGGGTCAGAGATGGGTCAGAGATGGGGTCAGAGATGGGTCAATGATGGCTCAGTGATGGGGTCAGAGATGGGTCAGAAATGGGTCAATGAAGGTCCCAGTGATGGGGTCAGTGATGGGGTGGGGTCCGTGTGTTTCGGGAGGTGCAGCCATGGGGTGGGTGCAGTGATCAGCCTGGTGGTGCCGTTCAGGTTTGTGCACCACGTATGGGTGCAGTGTGATTTGGAGCGATGGGGGGCTGCAGGCAGGGTGGGGTGCTCTGTGTGGGGGGGCACAATCTGGTTTGGGTGCCGTGTGTGGGTGCAGCGCAGGGTGCGTGCTGTGTGCAGCAGCCGGGCAGGGCAGGATGGGGTGGCCTGTGATGGGGTGCAGTGCAGGGTGGGTGCCCTGTGTGGGGGTGCAGTCTGGTTTGGGTGCTGGGGGGAGGGGCCGTGTGGGGCCCTGGACAGACGTGTCATTCACGCCAGGGAAGCAGAACCAGGCGCTGCGGTTGGCCATGAGCTTGGGCTGCTTCCTGCCGCTCTGCTGTGCAGGCACCGAGGGCACGGGAGCCGGCAGCAGCGGGCAGGGTGAGTGTGAGCAGGGTGAGCGGCGGGAGCAGCGGGCAGGGTGAGCGGCAGGCCGGGTGAGCGGCAGGCAGGATGGGCAGCCCCGTGCCCCTGGGAGGGGCTGGAGAGGGGCAGGCGTGGGGGGGAAACTGGGGACCGGGGTGGGCAAAGCTTGGCGGCATGCCGCAGGCAGAAGCAGGCAGGAGGGCAGGCGTTGGGGGGGCTTCCCCCTCCACTTGGGGCCCCCCCCGAGTGCAGTGGCAGGCTGGCA